CCCCCCCCCCCCCAACCCCTCTATCTCTCTTCACTCTTTTCACCAGCGCAGTCAATGTCACGTGAATAAATACACGAATTCTCCTATAGCAATGAATCCATCTACTCATTTTTTTAACATTCATTTTGCCATAAAGAATGCGCCTCCAGCACCGTAAAGTATTGCCGTGTAAATTGTTCCACTCAAGTCTGACCTCTCTTTATACAAACTAAAAAAAGAGAAAGAGAGAGGCAGAGATGGAAAATAGAATCGTGTGAGAAAATAGAATAAATTTTCAAATTGCCAACGTCACAAATGCGACCTAATTTCGGACGGGTCGCTTTTATTCTACGGTTAATACCGGGAAAATTTCGTTACCGTCGTGTCGCTTCATATCTCCATCCTCAAAGAGTACCAGTACATAGAGAAGAGGAGAAAGAGGCGAAGCTTATTGCTTGTTGGGAAAATATAAAAAAAAAGCTTAAAGGATAAAAAAGAGAGGGATAAGGGAAAGAAAAATAACATCGTGACGACGACCGTGACTCTATGGCGCCAATGATACTGCTGGAGAAACTTTCAAAAACAATGAGGCAATATGGCTCCATTGTCCTCCCATCGCTCTGAGCTATCGGGAGAGGAAAAAAGGAAAGCAATGAAAATAAAAAGAGGAGGGGAAACTAGAGTCCACTTATTATAAAATAAACATTAGGAGCCCCCCCTCCATGGCTGGAGACAGTCTTTTGGCAAACTTCTTCGGAATGGTCGGTCAGTTATTGTTTGACCTCGGTGGGATGCACAGTGGGATGAATCACCCCCTCGTTGACTGAGATCTGAAAACATACTAAACGCACCTGCCGCCCCTGAAATCATTGCCAAATAACCCTCGAGAGCCCCCGGGTCCTCAGTTGGGGCCCTAGTAAAAGTGAAAACTATTCGGAGGACAGTCAAAAGACGATTCAAGGAAGTTTGTGTACTTAGGACTCACTCTTATCCTTATTTTCTCGTTTTCGTTTGTATAGCCATGGTAAAAAAGGTCCCTCAAAATGTACTTACTTTTTACCTCTACCTTGACGCGTCGACAACACTTGGAAGAATTGCCGAGACAAATATTTGCTCAACATTATAACTCGACTGTCGCTGTATTCGGCATCAAGTGTATGGCCCTAACTAGATCGCAAGAACGAATTACCCAGTGACTTACATTTTGTTTTAATACTGGCATTGTACTAGGAGATTCGATATTATCAGGGGTCAGCGATCGGAGAGTGCCGACCTGCGGGGCCTCGAGAGAGTTTGTTTGAGAAAGATTTAAAGATGTTGGACTTACCGAGCGTGACTTGATTTTATTATAAACTCCCCCTCCCGCCAATCCACCCATTTTACTCCTTTTACTTCGATCGCCAAGATGCTTCGATCGCATTCTCTTTCTCTTCTTTTATCATCTCAAAACTCGTCCTACCCCACATCCTCTTTCACCTTTGGGCTATTTTTTTCATCCTCTCTGCCCACATTCATTTATTCATTCTTCACCTATTCTTTTGAAAAGCCTCGGACCAATCAGTTGTATTGATGTTCGGTTGAATTTAACTGGACAATCATCGAAAAATTCTCCGATTCGATAGGTGACTAGTCGGACATGAACTCTTCGTGGGTAGATACCGGTTTATTTTCCATTGGCCGGATAGCTTAAAAGAGCCGGTATGAGATGTGTGTCTAATATCATCTTGGGAATGCCGGATATTCTCCAAATCATGGCGCCACGGCGTATATCCACAGTTTAAAATCTCTGATGATTTCATAATGACGCTAAAACTCAGTGGAATAAATTGAGCGACTGGAATCAAGTTAATTCAAAGCGGAGCAAAATCGAGATGTAGCTGTCATCGTTAGCAGCCGAGAGACACTCTCGACATAAGTGGTCCGTGGATACGAGAAAAATGAAGAGTATAAAAAAAAAGTCAAATGACTTGTCTTTAGGGCCCACCGCGAAACAACTGCATTTTTTTTTTCAACTACTTTAGCAAAGAGCTGTTGGTCTCTCCAGACAATATTCATAAAAAATGGATCCATAGCTTTTAAAATAAAATAGAAATCCATGACAAGTAGAATGATTGAGTGAGAGTGGAGAAATGCATGGAGCGGTTCAACTTTTGTTAATATCGTGGCAACTGGCAAGTTGGAGAGAGGAAAAGGGGCTGATGTGAAGTTGTTGGAGTGGGGATGGGGAAGAATTTATCCGTAGGTACTCGTACATCTCCGGGTGTCCTCGGTTGAATTCGTAGGAGGCATCGTTGCCGAAGCAAAACGAAGCGCCTGCTGCCGACAATCCCCTCGGCCAACAGAGAACAGACGCGGTTGCGACTCCACTCGGGAAGGCTGTGTTACTCATACTCTCCGAGATTTCTCATTCAAACAAAACTCGAGTCCTCGTGCATGTGTTTCGGTTCGCGTTTTCCATACACGATTGATTGATATTTCAACAACAAGCGAACATTCGATAACAAAGCGATTCGTGTTATTTCCTGTTCATTGACTTTTTATTTTTTGTTTATCATTTCTGTGAGTGTTTGTGTTCATACTTTGATTGGATATTGATCAAATTGAGTGGTATACTGGTCAAAGAGGTGCTGGAAAACGGTGTGTGAACGGAAGTTGATGGAAAAAGACGAGAAATGTACTCCCATTCTGATGTTGTACTTTATGCTTAGTTTACTCTAACGCGTACAAGGCAAATGGTGGTTGAATAAATAATAAAGGATATATCCGAGAGAATAGAATGTACATGGGATTGTGTCAATTGATTTGGATAATTTAACGCCTGTGATAAATTAATTCTCACGGATACAAGCGAGTGTACACAATCGAGTGTACCTGGCATCTTATCGTAACTGTAGCCGGAAATGCAAAACACTTCCGGCGTCTCTGAGGTAAACGCCAGGGTTGACGGCATGCGGAACAATTGCTATTGGATTTACCCGAGCATAGTGAACCAATGAATGATCAAATCCATTGAATAAAATTCACTTGTCGAGTCTGACTGGTGGAGGAAAAAAGTTCAATTCCGATAATATAAAATAGCATACTTTTTCTATGAATGGAGAGAATAGAAACGTATCACCATAACGGGGTGGAGAATCGGAGTGGATCAATCTTCAAAGTGTAATAGTGTGTATGGATGTGGTCGGTTGGTTTTGGTGGAAGGTGGATGGTGGTAGACAGCGTAAACGACGAAGGTGGTGGTGTGTGGATTTATTAACAAAAGGAGCACTAATATTCTCCATTGTGCACCAACAATAAAAATCCAATCGGCCAGTTGTTACGATGGTTTCCCCGTCATGCGTAACTCTGGTTTTCCTCATTTGTCTGCAAACAGTATTGCTATCGACTGTGAGCAATTGTGCGAAAACCAGCAACATGTATTGGAACACGACCAATTCAATGTAAGTTCCCATACCCTGACCCTATCATAGTCATTATATTTTACAATGCATTATTACCGGGCTCCGTGTGCGTTAAATACCATTGGTACTTTCAATACCGAGCTTTTATATCACCAGTCCAATAATAACGGAGCACAGGAAAATCCCGTTCTCCCATGTAATAACATATATTTGTTACACATATGTGATGTTTAAGTCTCGGAGATTTCGATGCCGGTAACACAGCGCTCCCTCCTCGGAGCCAGGTAAAACTCTCCACTATCATCTTTTCGTTTGTCATAAAACCGACAAAACGAGATTTTTTTTATGGTGTTATATATTCTCAGTCCTATCTCTCCGTGTAGAAATTCCTAAGACTTTCAGAAAAGGGGAAGGGGGAGGGAGGGAGGGATTTTTTTTTATTATCCTTCAGCTGATAGCTCTCAGACTCGAAACCCGCTTGCCGTCGGATCGAATCTCACATGTACACTCAAAACTAGAATCTACAGCGTGTATTATGCAAATTTTAAATTCATCCACTGATAGGACGATCAAATTATCAAAGTGCCCTGGCTGACGTGAGTAAATTTATTAAAACCCGTTTTAGTAATCAATGAACGTGCTTTATACTCGATGAGATTCATTTAACATTGAATTCGCATTGTTCAACTCTCAAACATTCTTGATATGTCGTCAATGCGCACTTATCTCCGCCAACATATTCCTTCGGTCGTTTCCTTGAAGAGAATTCCTGACAGCGGCGATTCAGCGTTCGTTTCTCGATTCATGTAAATCACCCTCCTGCATGTATTCTTCGTTCCGTGACATGGATACCCAGTGAAAAATCATACATCAACGGAGAAGGTTGAAGAAAAAAAAAACCAAAACAAATAAACGACACAATTACAAATGGGAGGAGAAATTATTTTGGTGAATCAAAACGCTCGGCATTGTTCGGCGTTTCCTTTTTTCTTGTACTTTTTGCTTCTTTCATTCACATTCTTTTACCCCCAAACAAAAGCTCGTTCTCATTTTTTTTTATTCACTCGTATTTTTCTTCACGGCATCAGCGATTTATTTTGTTCATTATCTCCTAAACTGGCACCAACACAGTACAAAACCGGAAGTCAAGGAGGCAACGGTTACACGCCCACGTACTGCACGCACGTGCACTTTCTCGCGCCCTCGACTTGCTCACATTCCAGGTCACATTAATATTTTTTCACCATCCATCCATATTCATGATTGTTCATTTTAATTGTCCGGCAAAATGCTGATAATTTTTGAATAATTTTTCATGATTAAACAAGATGAGTAACACTGATACATCGAAGAAACAAGGGTTGGCTCCCTCTTGGGCCAGCTGCTTCCTGTTGGAAAACAGCCCTTGTAGATGAGAAAGCCGATGCCGGTGATTTCCAAAACCACTTGTAAAATCTCTCTCTCTCTCTTTCTCTCTCTCCCCCCCATGAAAAAAAAGGGCTGATCTATCTGCGCTTTTAAAATGAACCACCAGTCGGACATACAGCACCCACGGGAATTTGTCGCGTGTATAATTTCATGTAGCTACAACCGGGCGGACTCCCAATACCGTAATGCGCCCAAAACACGAAGGGGGCAGGGAAAAAAAATGGAGAAAAGATGAGCCCCATTTGTATACATACCGACTGATTCCCATAAAACCCTCATAATAATTGTTGTATTAAAAATATATAGCCGTCATGTGGCCCCCAACCTGACAACACTTATTCCTCCAGCACGTCTGGTTTTTCTTGATTTTTTTTTTGCTCGGGTAACCCCATGAGACCTCAAACTCGACCAACCATGAAGATTTCAACGAGATTACGTGAAATTTTAAATTAAGATAGCCGTGGTTTTATATCGTGTATATCGTGTCCCTCGGAGACCAACAATCGGTGTAAATTCTTTTCTCCATTTTTCTTTTTCCGTTCCCCTTGAAACTCACGCACTGGAGTAAGATTTGTAACTAGTGTACCGATGACACAATAGAGATTTCCGCCCCATCACACACTGGAAGAGAGGCACCCGGAAGACTCCTTCGGACGCCAGTCATTTCTTTGTGGAGACCCGAGACACACAAAAGCGATAGTGAAAGAGATAAAGACGAGTGCTCTGATGTATGCGAGGGTGGGATGTACATGCAATACATATAACTGGGTGCAAAAGCGAAACAGAGAAGAGGTTGAGAGAGAAAAAAAAATGAAAAATGAGAGATAGAAAAGAAAAGGAGGAGAAGAATGAGATGGATGGTAAGAATGTACAAAGTGCGTATGAGGGCACGGACCGCTTGTAAATCCATGAAGGAGCCGGCTCTTGTATCCGATGTAACGTGGCAATGGGTGGAGGAGGGAATTTAGGGTCGCACAAGAAGGAGTAAGCGAGATGAAGATAACTGGGGTAGGTGCAATGAAATCTGCGTTTTCATATTATTTTTCATCCTCCTCTCATGCAACCGATTCAATTCACACGTGTGTCTAAAATTTCATTCCCCCCGTAGACTTCTCTTTATTCCTGAACTTATTTTGCTTTCCGTGCCAAGATGAGAGAAATAAAAAGATTGCGAAGGGGATGGAGAAAAGATATGTGCTCACGGGAGGAGGGTCCCTGGGATACACCAAGTTTTTCAAATCAAATCCCTCATTGTCGGGTGAGTAATTCGAGGAGGATCGAAATAACCCATTATCCCGTAATGAGCGGCGCATTCACCGTTTCGGGGTGTTTCAAACGTATATATATATGTATGTAGTAATGTATGGGTTATATATGTGTGTACATATCTCTCCCTCTTTCGGTCGGTGAGCAACCGTTATCCTGCGGCGCTTACACGCACTTTCGTCTCTCATTTTGCTGAGGGATCGTCCTCTCACGAACGTCGCTCTTCAACGCGTCAAAAAAACTATATACATAATATATAAAAGTATAGTATATGATGTCGGCAAGAAATTGAAAAAGAAATGGGAGGAATAAAAATGAGAAACATTATTAACCGCTACCACGACGTGCAATTCGACGAAACAAGCACCTCAATGCTTGCACGCAGTGCAAGACTCCTCGATGTTACACCTCCAGGAGGTATTTTTCAATGCTAACCTCGGTTGTGTCCGGGTTGAAGCCCCAGAGATATCCCTGTTAGGTCCTCGAGATGATCGCTTTTTGTGTAGCTTCCGGGGATTTATCTCACACCCAAATATTCAATCATGAGAATACCATCGTTCCAAATTGATGAACTACATGGACCCTAAACCCATCAGTGATTAATCCATTTCCATTCTAATAAGTAGATAGATGAGAGCTGAGATACAACTGAAACATGAGGTCCTACTGTATCCAATTACATTTCCTGTTTCCCAAAAAAGTCGGGAATTTTCCCTTATTACAGAATATCACGTGTTGGCATCCAATTCCGAACGTGATTATTCCACTGACAATGAAGATAGATTCTCTTAACAGCTGCTTCAGCTCAACAACTCGGAACTTCTCCACTCAAGCATTTTTATGAATTTTCATTTTTTTTTCTCCAAGTCACCAGGAATCCCGATAAACCTGTAGAGGAACCATCGACCAGGGTTTATACTTCTCAAAGTCTCACGATGAATCGTCCTGTTTCACGAGATCTCCTCGGAGGCAAGAAATGCCCATAATCTAGATAACCGGCTTTCTACCTCGTTGCATCTATTCTCTACTACCTACTTCTTCCCATTTTTACTCCTCCCTTTTTTACAACTTTAGCCTGTGAAGTTTGATGGTCCCGAGGCTCTTTTCCTTTCCACGCACAAGTCCCGTTTATCTCACTCTCTCATATACCAGGAAAAGATTCCACAACCATTTGAAAATAATATGCTTCAGGTTTGTTTCAATGAAGATGAGGAATGTCTTACATGGATTCTCATCATGTTCACTTAGGGACCAAATGACACGTGTTTTCCGTGCGTGTCGGACGTCGGACGTCCACCTACCTTTAAAAAAAATACCAACAAAACCAAGTGAGGAATAAAATCATAATAATACTGGCAAGAGGACTCTGAAGGAATAGGCCGAAACGGGAAGCAGAGTATCGGGTGTCAAGCGAAGCCGTTTTCTTTCACTATAAAGACGTATATACGCCTTGTTAATGAACTCGACGACTAGCTTGTCTCGGATAATTACGTCGATTCCGAGTTCTATACGACCTGACCGTTGAATTAGAGACATCGATCGCCCAGATAAGGCCAAAAAAATTATATAGAAATTGAAAAACGAGGTAGAAAAAAGTGTGATCAGAGAACGCCATCCCGCGATACGACACCTGGGCTGCCAAATTATATTCAGATTATAGGTTCACTAATTTTCCCTCTTTTTCTCTTCTTTCCCTTCATGTTAACGCCTGTGGCATTTCGCCTGGAAAGGTGTCGCACGCCACCGACTGTGACAATTCAGCAATAAACACGCCAATTACGAAAGAATTTAAAAAAACAAAAAGAACCACCATCGACGACATGAATCCAATATTATCACCCACAGTATTCCACGATATAATGTAATTACCCATCGACTATTGCATAATTACACCACTCGATGATTTAATTCAAGAGTTCTCTGAATGCGAGTTTCAAACTTTCCTCGGGGGATTTAATTTTTTCTCCACCATTGAATTTGTTCTCACTTGAGAATATAAACTTGGATAATGATTGGTTTTGTATTTACGTCATGTCAAAAAACAAAAAATCAAGGAACAAGGCTTTGTCCATGAGACGAAGGGAAAGGAAAATAAAAAATGAATCGAAATGAAAGAATGGAGAGTACAAGGAATTTCAGCCGTAGCTCTCAAGAAAATTGACTGTACACGTAACAGGCGCTTTTACCCGAGCCATCTGAAACATTTTTTATGCCCAAAAATAACTGTTTCATTTCTAAAACCCGAAATCATACTACTAGACACTTTAATAACCTAGTAATATTAATTGATGGTGGAAAAAAGGGGGCCTTAATGAGCCGTTGTACTTTGTGCTTCCCGGAATGAATGTAGGTTTACGTCGGAAATATGTAGAATACACGCTTGAAATTCATTTACCACAGATGATCGGCTAATAGAGTTTTGAGAATGCGGTGGAGGAAAATACGAAGCGTAACGCCCCTATATGAGGATCACATATTCAGCTACTCGACTAGTCCCTATTTCATCCCGAAAAAAAAAAATGTTGAGTGGAACCTCCACTTGGAAAAGAGGGCAGATGCGGACAGTCGTGTGCAATGGCCCTAAGAAAAAAAAAGGAAGAAAGAAACAGCTGCTCTACTCTGTTCTCTACCCTCTACGCCGTGAGTTATGTTGTGATTCCACCATGGGACGTATTTTTTTTACCACAGTGAAAAGTATATACACGTGTACCCCAGCACGCACACGTCATGTATTTCGTAAACACGTGTATAAGCCCCAGCCACTTTTAAATTTTAATTTGTTATTTAATCCTCTTCTTTTTCATTTTTAACATCAAGCTCACTGCCGTCAGACATGATCGATCCCTGTGGTTTAAAACAAACCAAAAGAGATCAAAATGAAAAATAAACTTTCGAGGAGGCTCATTTTATTTATTTACTTTATTTTTTCTTCTCACGAAATTGTATATATTGGCATTCCTCCTCCTCACTTTGTATATCTCTTATTTCTTTATTCTCCGGGCGTCCGCCCCCCCCCCCCCCCCCCCCCCCCCCCCCCCCCCCCCCCCCCCCCCCCCCCCCCCCCCCCCCCCCCCCCCCCCCCCCCCCCCCCCCCCCCCCCCCCCCCCCCCCCCCCCCCCCCCCCCCCCCCCCCCCCCCCCCCCCCCCCCCCCCCCCCCCCCCCCCCCCCCCCCCCCCCCCCCCCCCCCCCCCCCCCCCCCCCCCCCCCCCCCCCCCCCCCCCCCCCCCCCCCCCCCCCCCCCCCCCCCCCCCCCCCCCCCCCCCCCCCCCCCCCCCCCCCCCCCCCCCCCCCCCCCCCCCCCCCCCCCCCCCCCCCCCCCCCCCCCCCCCCCCCCCCCCCCCCCCCCCCCCCCCCCCCCCCCCCCCCCCCCCNATTTGGTGGGTTGGTATGTGATAACGTCCGGATGTAATCTTCGAAAATCATATTTTTCAACAGTCATAGGTAATTATAATTGTATTGTTCGAAAATTTCCAATTTGATGGATCTACTCTTTGAGCCCTGATGGACTCGATTATATAGCAGGTAAAAAAACAAGCCAGACACACACACACACACACATACACACGTTTACGTGTACATGTCTACATAAAATGAAATATAACGTGACTAACAATTCTGAGAATCCTCCAGGTGAGGATGGGAGCCATTGGCTATACTATCGAGGCCCATCTCGTTCATATTCGTGTGTATCATGGTGAGTCGATGTATGTGGATGCTTTGGAGAATGAGAGGAGCTGAGAGAGAGAGAGAGAGAGAGAGAATGAGGAGGGGCGGAGGCCCAGAACTCGAAAAGTTTCTAGTAATCGATTCTTGGGTGGACGTTTCCCCGTTTCGTTTCTCATCTGTCTCTCTTCCCCCAACATTGAGGGATAACCAAAAAGAACGCCGCGGAAATTTATACCTGACTGAAGGCCCCAAAGGCAAAGGCGAAACCCAAAAAGATGCATCCCTCCCTTCAATGGTTTTGGACCTCGAAAAACCCGGGCGGTGGTTATATTCAACTGTGAAACGAAAAATATATGCTTTCGAGCAAAATAGCCTGCGAAACCCGGCGCGCACACACTCGTCTTTCCTTTCTTCTTTTGGTGAACACGTGAACACCAATTGGACTGGCCGAACTTGAAGGGGACAGCCACAGACAGAGACGGCGAATAAAAAAATATGTGAAACACCGGGTTTCCGAAAATAGAAGAATAGAAGAATACTTCTTTGAGCTTTTTCTCAAACAAAAAAGTGGAAAATCCGAGAAGTAGGCACTTAGGGGGGACTTTTATTGTGTGTTCAACACCATTTCATTTTTTTTTCATTTTCATGGGTCACCACACATCCCCCTCTCAAATTCTAGAGGGGAAAAAAAAATGAAGTTTCAAAAATTTTTTTTCAGCGGAATTTGTAAACTGAGACCACGAGCACGATGGCCATCGGGCAGTGTGATGAATGTCGGTGTAAATTTTGAAAAAAAAATATATATCCCTGTCTCAACGCCCAGCAGCTGCTTTCCATCATTAACATTTAAAATACCATAGGCAATAATACAATTTCAGAAACACATCGTAATTGCTTTAATATTCGATGACCATCAACATAAATACAATATAATGACCATTGGAAATACCATGGGAATAGACTTTTAATGCAATATAATTCTATTTATCTTGCCCCCATTTGGATTAGCTTGAAAAACAGAGCAGACCGCAATGGCCCGTGGGTGACGATGTTTCATTTCACAATTCCCAGTGGATTTCAGCTACCTGCCGGCTTACACCTATAATCAAGTGGGTCACTTTTTTTCTGTTCGCGCGACAAGCACGAGGGAAAAAGAGTGCGGGGAGGCCAGCAGAAAAAAAATATTTTCAAGGGGAAAAAAAGGGAAGATGTATTTGTGGTAGTTGGTTTGGGGCTGTATCCTTGGAGAGAGTCTTCGAGGTATACAAGAGGGCCCAGGTATAGGCCCCCCGAGGCCAGTCGCACACATAAATGAACAAAGAGACTCATGCGAACCTTCTCCCCCCACCATTTGTCTACGAACCAATCTCAAATTTATACCGGTTTTAAGAGCAATTGTTAATGATAAATACCAGTGGTACACCACCTTGCTGTTATTGGCACAAGTGATTACATTCGAAAGACTGATTTTATTTATTTTTTATTGTATGACCAAAGTGTTTCCATTATTGGATTCGTGAAATATATCCCCATTGTATGGAAACCAAATAAAACAAGGCACAAAATTATTACATTGAATCGTGAAAAAGAAATGCGAAAAAGTATCACATATGAAGTTGAATAAATTGGTACGTTAACTCCACAGACAGAGAATACCAATTTACCCCAAAAATACATTCTGCCAAGAATGTCGTGTCCGTCTGTCTCCGAATGGAATAAATATTTAAAGTAAACTAATAATAGTGTAGCCGTACGGGCCACCCGATGACATTTTAAGGATCAAAAGAGACCGACGACAGAAGTTAAGTTATTATTGCTTTCAATTATCACGTCAGGTGAATTGGTTTTTATAGCGAAAATGAAAAAAACTAAACACGAGAGATTAATGCTGGTTAATTCAATAGAATGTTCCAAACGTCGGCGTGTGTCACAGTTAAAAGATAGTAAACCAACAGTTCCCCAAAACTATAACGCATACAGTAACGACAAACGCCACACGTTTTTGGATCTTTTGCTCCACCCATTGCGGGCTCTTTGACGTCGTTGGCTTTGATATTCCTACCAGAATATCCCTGCTTTGCTTTTTCATCTGTTTCTCCATCTCCACCGCCTTATTACCGTGTCTCTTCACTCTCGTGGTAAAAGCCACGTGACAAAAAATAAAGACCCACGAGCAAAGAAGAAAAACTATCAAAACCATTAATTGATTTTTACTTGTCTGCAAGTTCTCATGCCTCCCCCCACCCCCCATTTTTTTATTCCAATACAGTTACTCATTCTACTGGCGATTTCGATTATACGACAAATTCAGTATACGCCCACTTTTTCGATATTCCAATTTGTCCGATTCGCCAAACTGTCTCGCCCATAAATTGGAAACGTATCCGTTTTTAGTCCAATTACTGGCTTCCAATGAAGTGTCTAAAAATTTTCATTCGCGGATGGTATCACCACCAGCAGCACCAGCATCAAGCAATATGATTTGCTATTAAGAAAACATAAGAAGTGAAAGGGATAAAAAAACAAGAATAAAAAAAGGCTCTGTAGAAAAGGGGTGGGGGGAAGCCGTCGGTTCACACCAAAAGACAAAGAGCTGCAAAGAGAAAGGTGAAGAGAAGAGAAGAGAGGTAGAGGGTGGGGAGTGAGAGAGGTGGCAGGTTAGCTCGGAACGAACACGTACGATGCCGCAAAATCGAAGCTGAGGTGGGCGTCCACACGGTTGTCGGCGTTCACAAACACACGGACATATATACTGACGATATAGTGGAAGAGATATATATACAACAACGGTTGCCTAGGGACTGAGAGTCAAGCCGACACACCATACCCAAGAACGGATATTATCGCCAAACGTTAATTTGCTCGAGGCCGTCCTACCATCCAATTTTCGAGCCCTTACACGCCCACTTACGAGATCGTCCGTTAATACTACGAAATGTCGAAACGCGTTTGCTCGCTCTCCCTTCACTCAGATGCATATACACAATATATGGGGAGAACAGTATGGGGAGAACATGCATCTGTATGAAGGTGGAGAGAAGAATTAAAAGATGATGAGAAAAAAAAAAGGTGAAGAGTATGAGAAGATCTTTTGTACATATTTAAACTGGTATGTAGGACGTCGATCAGGCCCAAGGGTGCATCTATCACTGCACCTAGTGCAAGAGATTTCACGTATTTTTGCGCCGAGCAGTGTGAAGCGCATTGTATAATATATGCGGTAGAAAAGGGGAAAGAGGGTAAGATAAAAAAGCATAGAAATCGCGGCAGCCAGTCCATGGCAAATACCTGGCAGTAGGGGGAGAACCGGTTGTAGAGTTCGAGAAGATCGAGAAAATTGAGAGGATGCGTCTCTCAAAACTTCTCCAGCACTCTCCACTCTTGTCTATCTGACAATGTGCAATAATATACGATAGCTATTTACACGATATATACGGCACTCTTATCACCTCGTTTTTTCCCTCTCTCTCTGTTACAGATTTCGAATAGACAATACCGATCACATCATAGATGTAAACAAAAATAATGCGGCCTTTGAATATGACCAGGTCAATATCATATGTCCTGTCTACTTGCCAGGGACTTACGACGATGAGGCTGAGAAATACATAATTTATAATGTAAGTTGTAATTGAATGAGAATGTGAATATCCCAATTTGAATTTCAAATAATCATTGTGATGATGAAAATTTCATTCATCAGGTGTCGAAAGAAGAGTACGAGACTTGCCGGATAACGAATCCAAGTCCGCGTGTTATAGCAGTATGTGATAAGCCCTTCAAGACAATGTATTTTACGATAACATTTAGGCCATTCACACCACAACCGGGTGGATTAGAATTTCTCCCCGGCCACGATTACTACTTCATCAGCACCTCATCCAAGGACGATTTACACAGGCGCATTGGTGGACGTTGCACAACTCACAACATGAAGGTCGTTTTCAAGGTGTGCTGTGCAAATGACACCAATGGATCATCAACATCAACATCCCGTAACTACTGTAATTATCAATTGCTATTTTTTTCATTATTCCCTCCCCCCTCTCTCTCTCTCTCTCTGTCTCTCTCCCTCGATAAATATTCGTTTCTCTGATTTCCCCTTCACAGTTCCATCAGCTGGCACCAACAGCGGCAGTAGTACAGTATCAAGCTCAACGAGTATTGGTATTTCGGGTGGTAATGGCGTTGGTATGCCACCATCACCACCTCCAAGTGTCTTCAAAGGTGGGGATCGATTCTACCCGGGAGGCAACATCTATCATCATCAACCTGGTACAGCGCCCACTCTACCCCATGCGCCCCCACCAAACTATCCGTCACATCCCCATCAGCCGCCGATTCACAATGGACAACCGTCCTCGTCACCGCCCAAGACCTCGATCACCCAGAAGAAGAAGAACAGTACGTATGCTTGATAAAATAAGAACAAGAAAAATACCAAAGAATTACTCGAATAATCCCCCTTCACTCTCCGCCATACTCTCTTTCTCACCCAGCACCTGCCCGCCTCACGGCATCAACTCATTCTCCTTTTCGTCTTTCATTTCATCGCGGCCTTTTTCACCTTCGCCCTCATCCCCCTCCCCCCCCC